TATATATATATATATATATATATATATATAATATTTCAAGCCAAAATGAGCCGAACACGAACGAATACATCTTAGTTCGTGTTTGGCTCGTTAAATTATCATACAAAATTAACGAGCCGAACACGAGCTTCTTAACGAGTCGAACACGAGCTGTTCGCGAACAACGATCCGTTTTGCCTGCCCTAATACGAATTGTGTGCGAGATATGTAAATTTCTCTTAATATAAACAAACTAAGTACAAATCAAATATGAGCATAAATAAAATAAAATAAAATAAACAAGAACACATATGTGAAAGCTTGGCTCAAGCTCGAGCAGAACATGAACAATTTATGATTTGACCAAGCCAAGTCCAATCCATGATCTACTCGACTAGGCTCGATTACAATCCTACCAACAATCTACAATATAGCATTTGTTTGTTATTTGTAGCTCTAATAGGGCAAATACATTCTAGGAGATATAGATTAGAGCCCTACCTACAACTAGGGGTTGTAAATGAACAAATACACTTGATGAACAACTTGAACTCGACTTGAACAATACTGGATTACATTTGCTCAAACTAGTAAACAAAAATATTTGAACATTTTTTAAAACTCAAAAAGTTAAATGAATCAAGTACGAACATAGTTCAAATCTTTTTTTTGCAAACAAGCTTGTTTGTTGTTCTACAAGTAATTTATTAAATATTTTATACTTATACGTTACATTGTTTGATTAATATTTAATTAAATGTAATTGATTTATATATATATGTTGAATAAAAATATATTATAATTTATTTCAGTATGCATATGTATTTAATGTAATATCTTCTTACTTTTTTTTATTTTAACCAACTTGTTTTCTACTATTCATTAATATTATTTGAGAGTAAGAAAAAAAAAATAGCTTATAGCTTACATGCGATTTTATATACTTAGTGTAAACTAGCTATATGTCAATTTGAAATTTATTTAGATTTATAAAATTATTGATTAATAATATTATGTAAAAAATTAAATACTTATTTAATTTTTTAGCTTATTATCTAGTTTTAAACAAAAAATAAAATACAAATTAAATTTTTTATTTTATCTAATATTTTATCTAAAAGTAGCTTGTTCAATTAATATAAAAAATTAAGTAATTAATAGAAGCATTGACATACATAGCATACAATTCTTATGTATTTATATATTTCATACTTTAACTTTCACATTTACACAAAGCACTCTCTTTAATATCACATCAAAAATAAAACTATTATTGTACACACCAATATTGTCGGCACAAATCTCAAAACAATCAAACAATTAAAGATGATGACGCAACGATCGAGACATTAAATTTAAGAGATATGATATGAATCGATAATCTGAAAGAACAACATATTGATCAAATCTACCCTCGGCGAACCCGATCAGCTGGCCTATCTACGGTCACATCCGCCGAAGCTTCCTAAAAGTTGACCGAACGCAACCGACCACTCATAACTTGACAGAAACGACCTCCACTAGGCCGGTCACTTTGGTGGACATAACTGGAACACATCGGCCAACTAATTACTATTATATCCAAATTCAAATTGTAATATAAATTTAGTATTAAATCAACACATTAATTACATATAGAGCGGTTTCCATAATTATTCTCTTCTTTTGTCAATTGAGGGTTATTTTCATAATCATCTTCTCCTTTCTCTAATTGTACAAGAAGACCTATTATAAATAGGAGGCTCGACAATGAATAAAAGGACTCCTGGGTCTGATGACTCTCAATCTCTCTACTAAGAATTTCTTAACACAATTTTTCTCTCTCTACACCTTCTCCCGGCCCTAACTCTCTATGCGTGTGTTTCCAAAAAACAATTTCGGATTCATCAGCTATTATTTTTTCTTAAATTCAAATACCCTTCTTCATGCATAATTTAAAACATCAAAGCTCTATGGATATAAATATGAAAGTTTAGGTGTGAGATATGTAAATACATAAGAATTGTGTGCTACAAATGTAAATTTCTCTTAATATAAATAAATCAAATACAAATCATTTATGAGCATATATATATATATTAAACAAGAACACAATGTGAAAGTTTGGCTCAATCTCGAGTAGAATATGAACAACTTATGATTCGACTAAACCAAGTCCAATCCATAACTTACCCTGCTCGGCTCCATTAGAGTCATACCTACAATCTACATTATAGCATTTGTTTATTATTTGTTGCTCTAAGACCTCAAATACATCTAGGAGAGAGATAAGAATGAGGGAAGGGTCTCCCTCTCTCTAACCTCTTCCCTTCATCACCACCATCAATAACAATACATACACTCAAAAATCATGAACTACATTATTCACATGATCTCTCCTAGATTATATGCATCCATAGATATTACGGGACTCTATGTTCTGAAGATATCCCTCACCAACCGTCCTCCCATTATCGTCGCCCGCTGGCCACCATCTCCATCAGCGGGACCTTGACA